TTCCTCGTCGTCTTCAATATTGAAATAATTTAAATCTTTCACAAGTTATTAAGTCTTGTATTTTTCTTGTCTTTATATTATTTTATGATAAAGTGCGTGTGCGTATTGAACAAACGTAAAATATGACAGTATTAACTAAAAAAGACCTAACAAAAAATATGACAGTTATTTCTGACAATGGACTAAATTTTTTTTTTTTTCTGACAAGCGACTACTTCAGTCGACTAATATTAGTCGCTTGAAGCGACTACTTCAGTCGACTAATATTAGTCGCTTGATGCGACTACTGTCAGTCGACTAAATTTAGTCGTTAGAACCGACTCAATTCAGTCGACTAAATTTAGTCGCTTGAACTATCGAGCTATTGATCGCTATTGACTGGATCTTGATTCTTTTCTTCGCGATGCAAACCAATTGTAATTTTTCCATATATTTTTTTATACATTACCATGAGCCGTGCAAATTCTTGCGTATAACCTAATTGATTTTCATAAAAAATTTAGAGCAGTTAATTTTTTAAGTGCCAATATTAATTAGCTTACAAAAAATCGAATATTAGTAATTGTTTAAAAAAACTTGTTTACCACTTATATTTTCAAATTCTATCTATGAACTAATACATTTCCAAAAGGTAAATACACCAATAGTGTTGAAAAGTTGATGACATAATCTATACATAACCTATAAAGCAAAATTTCAGTTGACTAAAAACTATCGACTAAATAGTCGATAGTATGTTGCGACTAAATAGTCATTAGTCGATAGTTTAATTTAGTCAATGGTGCCCATCACTACGCCCAACCGTCGACCCCGCGAATCCTGGAAATCCCGAACGATATTCCACAGCCGCGGCCACTTAAAGGTTTAAGATTCAACCCTCGTGACTTAAGGGTCTAAGTCGAATCTACGAAACGGGGTGTCAGGCACAATTCTTATCGTTAACCCGCTACGTGGCAAACGTCTCTTCGGTACACGATACCACCATGTCAGACCCAACGCCTAGCAACTACTTCGTGGACAGACGATACTATATTTTCAAGCCCAACGCTTAGCAACTGCCTCTTCGACACATGACACTACCGTCGTGCACACGACTCCACGTATTACCTGTATAAAGGCCCCGGTAACCCAATAAACGATGAGTTCCACATCGATTGTCGACGTACCCGCATATCTTTGTTTCTCTCTTTGCCTAACCTGGAATCACACCCTTGTCCTATAGAATTAAGTGAAATTAAAGAATCCCCGTGACAGTGTAACTACCCTAGTGGTTTTGTACGGAAACCTCAGGAAATTTTAAAAAATATTATTTTTCTTAAACTGTCTCTAACCAACACAGATTCAGTAGTTTCCTTTGAGTAAGTGGTTTCTTTAAACTATCCCTAACCAACACAAAATCAGTATTCTGCTTTGAATCAGTGATTTTTTTCTTTAACTATCTCTATCTCACACAATCAGTATTTTGCGTTGAAAATAAACATAAACACAATGGACACACAGATCATAACCCCCAGAACTATATTTGCATTATAATTCCTTATAAGAAATTTTACCTTTTATTCATTAACAGGAATTGATCTAATTTCTACTAAGTGCGGAAATCCCAAGAAAGTTAATCTTTTATTTATTAAACACAAATAAACATAACCTAACTTTTATCGCCTTACACAGAATCAAAACTAACCGTAATTTTAAACATTTGGAAAACGTTTCTTATACGCCTTCTAAGATATTACCATACCGTTTTTAAAAACTCTTGAAACATTCCCAAAAAGTACAGAGAATGTTATTTTTACACATTCGGAAAATGTTCTGAGAATGTTCACACAGAACGTTCCACTTTGTAAATACCCTTCTTAAGATATTTAACCCTTTCGCTACGGAGAACGAGATATCTCGTTACCACAATATCGGTTGTTCAATGCTACAGAGGAAATATCTCGCGCTTCAATGTTGTTTATGCTACGCTACAGACGAGATATCTCGCGTCCCAATGTCACTTATGCTACACTACGGACGAGATTTCTCCCGTTTATGATTAGGTTGCGAAATGCATTTGGTAGACACTTCGTTGTTGATGGAGTAGGGTCGATCATAATAGTAAGTAAAAAATGCATTAAGTATACTTTTGCAAATGAATTTCATTTATTTTTGTTTTGTATGAAACCTTTCAAAGCATGGTGAAACACATCAGATAAATTTCTCTATCAGCATTATCATCACTGCTATCACTATTACTAATAGGTAATTCTATTTTTCAACCGCGGAGACATGACTGCTCTACGCACGAAATGTTCAGTGGAAACTAAAACAGAAGCCAAATATTTCACCTAGCATGTCCGATGAGAGACATTCAGTTGTAAACGCTAAATTAGGGGCATCGCGTCGTTGCCCTTGCGGGTAATATTTTCGACAGGCCTGCACTACACGATAAACACAAAATATTTCATTCATGGCGCTGTACAAACATTATTGTTTCGCAAAATATTCTGTTCATAGTTTCGCATAAACATTACCGTGAATATTAATGACGAAACGTGCAGCAAGTGGATTTAGTATCCACATAAAAAACACGCGAGATATCTCGTCTGTAGCACCGCATAAGCGACATTGAGACGCGAGATATTTTGTCTGTAGCATGAAATAAACGACATCGTGGTAGCTAGATATCTTGTCTGTAACAGCGAAAGGGTTAAAGATCTTAATGAGGACGTAGAGAGGACACATGGACCTTTTCGAGACATCCTCAGAATGTACCGAACCTCTGGAACGTACGTTCTGCGGACGTAGATATGATGTTTTTGTGTTATTTGGTCGGTAATATCACACAAGTGGACGCCTGAGGTCTGCAGTGACCCTAACTTTCTTTTTAAAATGTAAATAAACCAAAAGGTGTTAAAGAAATCAAACCGAATCAGTTTGATAATTAACGTTTATTACTTTAAGAAGAAACAAAAAGCGAATAAATTACCTCTTAAAATTATCAGCAAAAACTAAACGTCTGCTTCTACATATTGGGAAACTACTTGAAATTAATTTTTCTACAAACAATAAAATTAGGACCATTATTCTGAGGATTTACTGCTAACACATTCAATACACAAGGATATATTGTGCTCCCTACAAATATATTTTTAGCATTTAGAACAGTGAAGGCTCATGGAGTCATACTCTACTTGAGTAGCGACGCGTGGGCACACTGCAACGGCGCGATCACTAGTAAATTCAAAATAGATATGGCCTATTCAATTGACATTCGCTAGACGATATTTATTCAAGACCTTCAATAATTTAAAAACATCTTTTTTCATGGTAACAGTGAATTCGATATGTATCCTAATATTCATAAACTGGAGTGTATGCATGACAATAATACAAGTAAAATAATTTCAGATTAAATTATACGAGGTGTGACAATAAAGTTACGAGAACAATTCATTTAAAAATGTCAGTTTGAAAACTAAACAGATGTGAGGCCATCGCCTTCAAAGTAGTCCTCTTGTTAGTTTAGTAAGTTTAGTAAATTTATACACTTACTAGTCAGTGTATGCATTTACGTACGGATTTAGCAGAAGTATGAACCGAATATAAGAGTGTTACTATTTCTAGTAAATGTATTCATTTACTAGCTAATACATACCTACATTTCCTACAGCACGTTAGTACAACCATAATGTCGAAAGTATAATTTCTTAAAATCTATATTTTAAGAACAAAAATGTAAAATAAAAACTTAACGCTTCATTTGATAATTTAGGCATCCCTTTTAAGAAAGTTGGTTGTTTTTATTTAAATATAAAAACATAGATTTGGTTAGGTTATATTTATATGTAATACAGTTAGAAAGAAACAAATATAATGTAAAATACAAACTTCGGTTACATGGATTAACAGAAAATTTTCCTTCATACTGTTTTTATTTATTTTAATAATATAACCTAAATGATTTGTACCTGTGAAATTAACTACCTATCTAAACTGTAAAGACTCGTCCCTATTAAATAATGAACTAATCGCCAACTACTATTGTAATGACTCATCAATTTTTTACATACTTTCAAAAGAACAAACAAACTTATATTACCTTTACTTTTACAAAGCTTTCGTGATAAATTATTCTGAATTTGAAAACAAAATTTATAGTTTGGTATGTAATTTTATCAAATAAATCAACCGCTCATTGGCCAAAGTGACTAACTCAACTTTTTAAATTTTATCAACTTTTAATACCAAAGCACTTGATTGGTGCTCAACTTTTTATATTTTTTTATACTTATACTTTTGTGGAGTTTATCGCATTGGTAAATGAACGGCTCAAATATGACAATGTTCTGTGAACAACTATATGAACTAGTGACGCGGTATTGTAGATACATTAGTTAATGATTTGTTTCAGGTACACTGCCACGCGACGCGCTATGAAATTATTCGACGAATGTACCAACGGCGACCATTAACAACTGGAATAGGAAAAAATATCAATTATCTATTTATAAAAATAAAACGCGTATTGTATTTCTACCACTTTAAATCACCATCGGAATAAATGTTTCCTACATTTGTGTAAGCCATACGCACGACACATGCACTGTTAAATTTCTTTAAACTAAGTACGGCTTACGAGGGAGTAGTAAACTCTTCCATTTGAAAGAAAAAAGAAAAATTACCAAAAATATAAATTGGAGCCTAAACAAAGAAGTCAGCTTCAGTGCACCACTTAATTAACTTCGTTTGAATATCTATATAAATCACGCAACGAAAGTTATTTTATACTGGCTACGAGCTTAACTTTTTCTATTTATATATAAACTACGAATATACATATATCGTCACGGGGACCAACGGTATTGTCGCAGAAAGTCTCGCCTTTAGTGGCATCGGTAGTATTAATTCGTACTAAACAGGGACCAGTCAAGAGCATTTTATGGAATGACGAGTGTTTCCAAGAAAGCCCTGAATGGAAGTTTTATCTCATGCTACAACTTCCCGCGTGACTAATACCAACGGGAGAAAAGGAACTGAAATGTGTACCATTCTTCGAAAGCATCAACGTTGAAGAATGTAATTCGCATCGAGTCGCTAGAAACAGAGATTCAAGGAAGCGTGCATCTGCCGCTCGAAGTTCCATGCGCTGTAAGCTTACCGGATAAAAACGCCAGGCAGAGAGGGAAAAAAGGAAAATGCGAGGGGGAACATCGACACGGGAAAGCAGCGAGGCGATCCGCATGGAGCCTCTAGGTAGAACCTCGAGTTCCCGGAGTCCCGGGCAAAACGAAACCGCTAACACCACCGAGGTGCCAGCAAACTCAGGTGAGTTCAAGTCCACTTGTACCACGAAAATATGTTTGCTCCTCTCCTTCAGAACGGAAATAAGAAGTCGAGTTAATGTCGAGGTGTCATAGGGTCTAATTGTCGAAATCAATATTTATTAAGAAGGAGAAACCGACTGATCTTATCGATCTAATAAGGGACGTCACTGAAGCGTGACATGCTGGTTTTTATGCCGTTTGGTACAGTGATAGTATTTTGAAAAATATTTAACACCTATTTTTTTTGTAATTGCTGACATTCACATCTAGAGGATGAAAACAGCCCTCAAAGTCGTGGGTGAAATACATTTTCCTTAATATCTTGCAAACTATTCGACTTAGAGAAGATAGTTGTTAACAAAAATGGTGCTTTTTAATAATAAAAATAACAGTTTAAGTAGTTTTTTCAAATACCATTTTGTTTAAACAATTATTTTTTATGTTTGAGTGTTTCGAAAAAACTACTTAAACAGTTATTTTTATTATTAAAAATCACACCATTTTTTGGTAACTATCTTTTTTAATCTTAATAGTTTGCAAGATTTTAAGGGACATGTATTTTTTCACCCACGACTTTGGGGGCTGTTTTCATCCTTTGGATGTGAATATCAGCAGCTATAAAAAAATACGTGTCAAATATTTTTCAAAATGCTGTCTGTACCAAACGGCATTATAATCGGTCTGTTACACTTGTGTGATTTCCCTTGTATGTAGGCGAAAGTCTTTACTTTACTAGCAAGTGTTCCTTGTGTCAATATCTTCTGTGAACACGGTTTGTCCACGAAGCTCCCGGAATAATTCAATAAAAACATCCATTTTGCACATAAAAAATTGTATAAATTTGATTCTTTACATAAATGCCTTCCCTTTCAATACACAGCTTGCAGCCTTCTAAAAGTCCTTCAAATTAATACTTGAAATTAATCTTTCTACAAACAATAAAATTGGAACCATTATTCTGAGGATTCACTGCTAACACATTCATTAAAGGCTCTAGTGAAATCATTTTTCGTGATGGCCTTTAAACAGCTGATTAGGGTTCTTTGAATTTCCAAAATGGACGCATATCGTGCCCTTTCATCGGAATCTTTCTTTTGGGGGTAAATAGAAATCGGCTTTAGCTAAATCCAGTGAATACCTAACGTTTGCACCTCAAATATATTTGTTGTTTTTAAAGATACGTCAAGTGTCTTAAGGACAAAGTTGAATGGTTCAATGGGGATCACACAATATCAAAAAAGTGTTTGTTTTTGTCAATTTTTTTTAGAGATATCAAGGTTACCTTCATTTTTTTAAATGGAATCACCCTTTTTTAAACACCTTCAATGATAATCGCTTTCATTAGGAATTCAGTGACTATAATTATTCATGGTCATTCAAGGTCACGGACAGAGAAAACGTATACGATTTAAAATATTAAAGCAGATTACGTTGATCACGAGTGAGGCTTGTAGTAAACATACTAAGGTCATTCAATATTATTGAATGTTTTCAAACATCCTCTAGCCGATTACACTGCGATTTATTTACTATCAGTGTTTCCAAACAAGATTCCGCTATGTCTTATTCAATGATTGAAAGGTATATTCAATGATATGATTGAAAAAATAATTACTTGTGTTAGTTTTACATTTTAATTTTAAAATTCTCCAGGAAAAATCATAACTGTTGCCTGCATTATGAGGATTATTATACGAAAACCTGGTTCTTCAGAACAGGTTAACATATTTTTGGACAAAGTGAAACAAATGTGGAGGCAAATACGTGTGAACAGTAGTGTTATGTGATTTAAGAAACGAGAGTGCTTTCCACGTGATCTGATAGTTGTGTTAAGTACTCAACAGTAATTCTAAAAACAACCTTAATAGTTCAGTTAAATATTCACTAAATGGCCGTGGAAACTTACTTGCTAGTCAAATGTTATCATGTCATATCTTTGATTAAACATTATATAAACAGATCTGTAAAATTCATATTTAAGAGTTATTAATGAACAGTGGTTGCGAATTAAATTCTTTTCCATATGCATATCGGAAACAGGTTAGACATTTAAGTGGTTAGACGAAAAATTAAAAATAGTATTTACATTTTGTTGAAATATAAGAAACTTTTCAAAGCATCCTTTTATAAAAATTTTAAGTAAAGTAATGTCTAATTAATTTACAGAGTTATGACAATATACGTATGTAGTTCCAACTGTACAGTGGGATTACGAATTTTTAAGAGTGCACCGTACACATTCTTTTTTACCCTCGTTTTAGCTACGAATACCTTGCGAGTTAGGAATTTTTTGTGCGCTGCAGCAACGAGGAGCTAAAAAGCTGTTCACAAAATTATTTTAAAAAATATTTACTCAAAGGAAAAAGTTATTTATCTAAGAGCAACGCACTAGGATGATTAAATAATCGATACTCCAATAGATAAATTAACGTTAGCTTTACTAAATACATACCATATACAATTATTTATGTATATAAATTAAATAATTGTAGTAAATTAATTTTTATATATTAGACTGTGTTAACGAAGTTAAAGGAGTTCATTGTCACCCAATACTTTGCTTCTATAAAATTAACTTTTGATTTTTTTTTAAATTTCTCTTAACAAGAATCCAGATAGGCAGATCGTACATTCAAACGACGTCCGTTTCATGTTCAGTTTATATCCGAATGTCCTACGTTTACTTTCAACATCCGTAGGATGTTCTCAAGACTTAAATTTCTCATGTTCTAGGAATATCTGTTTCCTAAGTTTTACGAAAGTTCGTAGGATTTAAATTTCGAATTGTGTCGTAATTTTAAACATTTGGGAAACGTTTCTTATACGCCTTTTAAAACATTAACATAGCGTTTTTAAAAATTCGTTAAACGTTCCGAAAAAGTATACGGAATACTACTTTTAGACATTCGAAAAATGTTCTGAGAATGTTGACATCAAACGTCCTCAGGACGTTCCACTTTGTAAATTGGAGCTTCCTACGACATTTAAAGATCTTGTGGAAGACGTAAGGGATGTAGACCTTTTCAGGATATTCTCCTGATGTACAAAATGTCCGGAACGGATGTTCTCCGGACGTACAAATTCTGTTTAGAATATTTCCTAGTATTCTCAATAAAATTACAAAATGTAATTGTTGTTATATGAAATGTGGTTTCAATCTTTAACATCATCAACGAAACAGCAAGTTTACAGGAACGGTTCTTACTACCAGCGAGTGTTGGGTACGTCACTTATAGCTGTATTTATTATGCGATCGCCTTAGAAACAGTCGAAATAGTATTACAATCCGTGATTACTCGTTTCAGAAAGTGTATCGCTGTTGATGAACATCACTTTTAAGCGTTTATGACATAAGCAGTACATTCACATACCATCATAACATTTTATTAAAATGTGATCACTTTTTTGTCTTCAAGGTCACCTCAAGGTCATCTTTTAAACATACTTGAATGCGTTTTAAGATTCCGTAGAACAGAATATATGCTCTCTTGCAAAAAGACTTTGAAGGAATTCGAACAAACCACAAATTCAAAATCATTTAAATTGTGATCTAAATATTTCTCGTGTCATTACAAGCAACGGTGATATTTCAGTGTTTTTGTTTTCGTGAAATATCCTGTGTAATATAAGTTTGTTCGTTTCAAAGTGTTTTATCGGTTTCAAACGATAATAGTGTAATGAGTTTACCAACCCTTCACCGCTTGTGTTATAAAACTATCAAACGTACGACGCCTCTCTAAATGCTTGAAATTTTTATTAGGTCTCACTGCACGTAGGATTACATGTGACCTGCGAGGAAAAATATAGCCTCGAGCTCCAGTGTGGAACTCGAAACTCATGAATATTATTTAGAACAATTTATATTGCGAACCAAATAACTTTCTAAGGTGAAAATAAGCCTAAATTGAAATGGAGAGGTCACAAGTTCAAAAGTTCAGACGTTTATAAGCGCCCCTATTCTATCGATATCGATCAGACTTCAAATTCATATAAAAATAGCACGTTAACTTGAAGAACCTAAAAATGCCTTGGCAATTTCTATAAAAATTATTGATAGATTATACGAAAATTGTGCGGTTTAAAACATCGGATGTTGTAATTGCAAATAGATTATATACCTCTGCAACATAGTTTATAAATGTCGTTTCATTTTATTTATTAATAAATATTTAAATTGGTCCATAATAGTTCTTTAAATATTTTGCAAAACAAATATTACGGACATTGTGAAAATTTATTATATAACCTGAATCAGTTTACAGTGAGAAACTAGTCAAACGCACAAGACATACTCTTATTAAATGATAGCTACTAAATAATAGAGTAAATAATATCTGAATTTGTGTAGATTCTGTTAGAAAATTGGTATGAAATTATAACATCATTTTCCTCATTATTATATTCATAATGTGGTTGGATTAGGTATATTATATTATTCATTATAAATAGTTTTGCAAAGAATATTCTAGCAACAACTTCAATGTTGTTACCTTAATGAATAGAAATTTTAATCTAATGTATTTATTCAAAAGTTTTCGATCTACGTTTTAATTGTGAAATTGTGTAGCTCATCTGTTCTTGTACTAACGGAATCATAGAGTTTCTGTTACAGCGATGAATAATTATACACACAAAATGAATAGTTTTAGGATTTATGTTTATTACAAGGAGGTATATATTCTCCATTTCTGGAATCGCGGTACCGAAAGTGGACAAAAATTCTTTCAAGCTTATAGTACCCCGATTCTATAATGATCTAAAAAAAATGTAAGGTATATTCTTTTCAGAATATAAAAAAATAAAAATATTTACTAATTCAGAAATTTGAGTCAGCAACTACAAATACAATAGACGAAAATAATTTACTAAAACTTAATAGAAAAACTCACTAAGAGCATACCAAAAATTTCAATTGATTCATAATTTTTAAATGTCGATAAATACACATTTTATCCAATAGAAAAGCAGTACTTTATTAATAATCGATTCATTGTACGTGAG